AAAAGTGAAAATTATAATTTTTGATAAAATAACAAAGATAAAAATAGAAGAAAAGTAATAACTTAAAAACTTATATTTGAAATTGCCTTTTGAAAAATGCTACAAGTTATTAAAATAAATTATTTTGATAAATAATCTATTTTGGTGAAACAAGCAAGTAAATTAGAGTATGTGCGTATGTGAAAAATCATGATCCCAAATTGATCACACCATTTTTTCACCTATGATTCAGAAAAAGCCAAACCCCTTTTTTTTGAAAAAAAGAAAAGCTCGTCCACTCAACATTGATGTAAAATATAAAATATTTAAATAATTAGATAATTAAGTTTAAATCTATTTATACATCGCTTTCGGCTTTAACCCCAACCCAAAAAAAGGGGTTTTCTGAGTCTCTTTCTATATTGCCACACTCTCCATATCGCTACTTGCTCGAGTATCAAAGTGGATCTTGTGCCAATCCATGCTCTTTCCCTGTCCATATATTTTGAAATGGAGTTTCAACATTTCATTGGACGAGCCAAAGAGTTATAAAAGATCAAATATATATACTTGCAAAGATTATTTCATTTTAAAATTTCTGGAAGGTGGAACACAACAAGGAAGTGATAACTTCCTTACGTGTAAAAGTTTAAGCTTCTTTAAAACTTTTTTATTTTATTTTATTTTTCATCACCACTTTTCTTTTTTTTCATTTTTCAATGTTGTAGTGAGAATTGTACGAATAGGATATCTCTTTTAATTATAAACTACTCAAACCACACTCTGCTTATTAATTGACATCACCGTCACCTAAAATTGAACAATAAGTAGCTAGCTTGTTTGGTTTGACACGAACAGCTGTTTGCGTCAACCAAAATGATTTTATATAATTAATATTGTTTTTTAGATTACGGCAAATACTATAAATCTTGAAGGTGAACAGAGTGAACATGATCAAACATATACAAAAAAGCAGCATTAGCGACGTGCTCAGCAGAGTGATAAATCAACTCCAAGAACCACAAAAATAACATAAAACATAACGAATAAAATTGTCTGAATTATGATTAAGTGGGATTAGCTAGTAATGTTTATGCAGATGAATAAGGACAAGGTATGAGAAAGGGGTGGGGGCAGACACATGTGTAAGTGTAATTGGGGAATGGAAGAAGATGATTTAAATGGAAGAAGAAAGTGGCCAGCCCAACATCCACCAAAACGATGATCACATCACATGATATGTGTCAGTGGAGGCATCACAACCAGGTACGTTCCGTACTGTGTCGTATTGTGTCAGACCTTTAAGGTACCCCATGTCGTTCCTGTGTTTCATTCACACTTGGGTAATTCTTCTCAACGTAATGCAGGCAACTCTAATAACTTGTTAAAAAATAAAATTTACATTAAATTTAATTTGAAATAACTTCCACATATTTTATAACAACGTATTGATTTGTCTCTGTACGAAAGTGTTTCAAATATGGGGCTCTGTCCCTTCTTGTTCGGGGAAAAAAAGAGTACGCGTTTAAGCAATATATCTAAGTTTAGCAATGGTGGAGATAAAGGAAAAGTAAAGCTTAAAAAAGATAGTGAGAGTTTTTGCATTTTTTTAACGTGTTTGTTTTGTCTGTAATATGTATAAAGAGGGACCTATCTAGCCTGTCTTAGGACCCAACATTCAAATCATGTTACGTCTAACAATTAATGCTCGCTTACCATGTCTCAACGCTGAGGCTGGCATGCCAAACATTGCACCCCCTTCAATATTAGAACAAACACTTTCTATGATCTTTCACTTCTCTGTCTAAATGGGATTTCAACCCATGATTATCCAGCTTTGTTTGGAAAACTTGAGATAATTTTACGTAGTAACTCTTTCTATTTGATCCCTTAATGCATGCCTTTTGGCTATGGAGCAAACTTAAGTATAACATTGCAGGTACTGTTGATGTGCTTTTTCAATTAGAGTTCAGTTTTATCTTGATGATCTGCACAATAAAGTTTATAATATTGCACTTAAAAATTTTGTTTATTTTACATAGTTTCAAGCTCATTCTAAATATAGCTGCAATTTCAGTTTCCTAAATTGTAATGTTAAATCTGGAGGAATGAAGGGAAGATTGTTAGGGAGTGGTTGGCGAAATGAAGAAGAGGAGAAAAGTTAGGAGCAAAATAGTTAAAGAAAAAAGGTTCCCATTTTAGTGCACAAAAGATTCCTTAGTGCAGCTCTGTTATGTTCAAGGAATATATCATATTTTAATTATTTATAACTCAATTTTTTAAAAGTGTTTAATTTTAATATATTATTAATGTAAATTTATATTATTAATTAATTAAAATATACCGTGAATATAATATTTATATTAATTACTATAAAAATATTTTAATTAACGTGATAATTTATAATTAAATGATAAAATTAAATTATTTTCTAAAATAGATTATATGTTTTTTTATTAAGAATATATTTAACTAAAAATTCATATTTTAAGTTTAATTAACAAGGCAATCTATGTTTTGTTATTTTTATTTTGAAATTATATATTTATTTTAAAAAATTAAGTTTATTAATTTACATATATGTTTAGATCTATTAGCTTATTTACAAGTAATTTTTTTATCTATTTAAAAGACTTTGTTATAAAAAAAATTTAAATGAATTTAAAAGTCAAATTGGGCTTTTAAAAAGTCTATTTAAACATTAAAAAATTATCACATTAAATAAATAAATTCATAAAAAAATAAATAAATAAAATTTAAAAAACAAACTAGGCATAACTTTCCAAAACCTGACTCAATTGAATTATTCAACATTAAAAAAGGGGTATATTCTTAGTCTACGGATGCAGAAAGGTAGGTCTCTTCAGTATCCTGCAAAAGGCAATTAATTATATAAAAATTATGATATAAAAATAAAAATTAATTGGCCAAAAGAACAAAAAAATGGGCATTGGTATTACCAGCAAGCATGAAGGGATGGTTCTACGGCAAAATGATTTGAATATCCACAAAAAGGAATTGGTTTCTGCAAGTGGAATCATTCAAGTACCTTCTTCATCAAACACATTCTTGTCCTCTTTATCATACTTTTCGCTTTCCATTTTGCAATTTTAAGCACCATGAAAGTACCATCTCTACCTTTACTCCTACCTAAAAGGAAAATACCAAAGTATAAATAAGGTTGATTTTCATATTATAAAACGAAAATAATGCATAGAGCAAAGAGGTTTTAAGTTAGTTTAGGAATAACTCTGAGAATAGTTACTTAAATTATTTATCTATAAATATTTAAATTTAATGTGAAAGAAGAAAGTTAACAAAATCTTTATTTATAATATTAAAATTTTGTTAATATAATCATTGAAAACCCTTGAAATATTTTGAGGTTTAATTCCTATCGTTATACATATCTTCCATGAGTTAATAGGCTTTACGGCCTATATATATATATATATATATATATATAGATGCTGTATTTCTGGTTGTGTGGCACTATTATACATTTAATACACTGCCCATCAAACTATAATAAACTAAATGATAAAACAATAACTCAACATCAAAATATCTGCTGACCCAAAAAACAAAAACAATACATAAAAATATCTGGAACAAAGGGTGTGAAATGGGATGAGAATATGTTGTCAGAAAATTGAGTTGGTGGATCAGACAGGGAATCAATCAAATTAGATATGGTACCCAAGAGGCCCAAAAATACAAAATCATTTCACCAATAACTGGATGGGCTATGTACATTGAAAAAGCTAAATGGACCATCTAATATTGCGTTCATCTTGGATCGAGTCCATCCAAATTTAAAGCTATTTTGTTAACAGTACCTCATAATTTGAAGGGTTACCAAAGAGGCAACTTCTCAAGATCCCGTATGCTCCGAAGACTTGTTTGTAACTGCATAAAACCTTAAAGCAATTAACTCGAGTCCCATGTTTATGAATAAGTGTCTAATTTCTCCATAAATAAATATAAAGATAAAAGGTTAATGATTATTACAATATGTGAAGTAGACAGTAAAACAATGTCTGAGTAGCCTGAAGTAACCTCAAAAGGAAAGCGTCTTAAAACGTAAATCTGAACTAATTTATAAGTGTTAGATATAAAAATTAAATATGTATTTTAATAAAAAATAAAAAATAAATTGTAGACTTATTTTAAAAACTAAACGAAGTATCAAATGAAAAATTATTAAAATTTTAAGAGACTAAAAATTTATATTTTTAAGCAAATTTTTATCTTATAAACATTAACGTCTGGTATAGTTTTACATTTCAAAGATAATAAATTTTTCTTTCTTATAAAGAAAAGTATTTTATCTTAAATTCAAATAAATGAATAAAATAATAGTATTAATATTTTTATTCTATAAATTTTTTTGTATATCAATTTTTATTAAATGTTTAAATTTTTTAAAAAAAATATTTACTATCTTTAATATATGAAACCATACTAGATATAAGTTTGCTTGAAGATATAACTTTTTTTTTTTGTAACTTTTCATTTGATACTTCATATTTTTTTCCAAACAAATCCATAATTTTTCTATTTTTATTTTAAATACATATTTAGTTATTATAGTTAATATTTATCTATAAATTAATCCTTATTATTGATAATTATATTTTAATTCTTATATAATTTTTTTTTTTACATTTCAGTTTTTTTTCAGGTAATAGCGTTAATATATTTTTAATAGTGAGAACTAATTCAAAAATATTGACTCGCATAAGAAATAAATTATAACTATTTTTATATAAAAATCAATTGAAAAAAAATATGTCAAGTATAAAATTATATTTAATTTACGAAAGAATTTAGATTCTCCTCTTTTGTATACGAACAGAAACAAGGGATGCTTGACTTGGTTATCTTGACATATATTCAATTAATGCCAAATGCAAAAATGTTCAACAAATTAAACAGATGGTTTCAACTATATCCACCCTCCTCTTCATTTTCGGACAACGACGGAAGGATCCGTACACACGATATATATATATATATAGAAAAAACTGGGCACGATAACTATATTTTTTTGGGACAACTTGAAATTGCTTTAACTGGCATATAACTTTCTGAGAAGTTCACACCGCCAAGAGACAGATCCTAACTGCTTTTCTGCCCATAAGTTAGAAAAAACGCATTTACCAATGAAATTATCAAACACGAATGAAAGGACAAAGATATACAAAGAATATGTGACAGTTTGAGGCACGCAGCATGTAACCCCCCACAACTTGTGCCGACGAGCTATAAAACGTCTATAGTATGCAACCCTCCAATGCATGCTTCGTGCCTCAGGTATCTTAATACCCAATCCAACTGAGGAACCTAAGCAACCCAACTCCAACTCAAGGCAAATCAGCATGCTTCAAAACGCTCCAACCCAAAACTTGCTTCAAGGAGAGATTACAGAAACCATGCTTTCAAGTAGTGAGTAGTGAAGGAAAATGAGAAACTAAGTGGTTATGAGCACCAAGGTTACAGAAAAAATATATATAATTTTGTACTCAAACCACTACAGCTTGACCACTAAGACCATCGTGAAGCTGAAGTGAGCCGTCCTTCATCAGGTTAACACTCAAGCTCTTGAATCTCTCTCTTGAATACTGCCGAGAAGCTTTTCTCCAGTCTGTTCCAGTTTTCATCATGGCCACAAACTCCTCATAACTGATGCGACCATCCTGTGAAAACAGTAAATTGAAAATTGTTTTAAGGAGTTGTGGGGATCTTGTAGGGCGTATATGAGATGTAACGGGAGAAGCCGCAAATAATTGTGATTTCCCCGGAATTCCACTCTTATTTTTATCATCTGAACAATCAAATTTTATGAGAAACAAAAGCATATATTGCGCTGGCAGAGTAACTAGAAGAGAGAGAACCTGCAGACAGTAAAATATAACGATGAGTCATTAACATGAAGCACAAACCTTGTCAATGTCAACTTCACGCATGATGTCATTCAATACATCAGTTTCAGTTTCTCCTGTCTCATCTGCTAATGCTTTCTCTAACTCGCCTAACTCAATATACCCACTCCCATCTTTGTCAAAATACATGAATGCTTTGCGGAAATGTTCGTCATTCTCCATTCTTTGCAAGTGAATTGTCACAGCTACAAACTCTCCATAGTCAAGTACTCCATTCCCATCAACATCGGCCTAAACAGTGGCAGCAAGGAAAACCATATTTGAATCACAAATTTGTTAACGGGAATTCAATTTATGCTTCTTCTAGATAGATGAGATCACTTCAAATGAAAATTGTGGTCATATGACGGAGTATAATGCAGTAAAAAGTAAGAGTAGCATCAGTCTTAGAGCAAAGTAATGAGTTCTAGTAAACTGGTAGTGTTTTCTATTGGGATATAGCATAGTTTCCTCACTTCTTTTTTACTACTATCATATATTACTCAAAAAAATAAATATGATATTGGAGGACGGTGGACTTTCCTGACTTATTTACACAAATTAAGGGTTTTTTTTTTTTTTTTTTGTGTGATTCTCTCTCTTTCTCTCTACATTTTCCTCAAGCTAAGGCTTCAAAAACTAAAACAGTTTTCATAATAACCTGAAAGAACATCAAGCATCACTTTTTGAATGGCAAATGCTACTGGAAAAAAAAATCTCCGTAAGTATATTTTAGAGATTATTTACACCACATAATAAGCATGCATAAAGTTTGGCATCTAACATTATATTATGCAATGCAACACAGTCTAAAGCCAGGTAAGACACATAGAGAGCACAACACTCTTCCAAGAAATAATGCAACAGAAGTACAGAAATGATTTCAAACAGCTCCGTCAGATTGTCTTAGAATCATAGTGACAATGACTAAAAATGGTAGAGTTTATGGAAGCGTACCACTTCCATCAGCATCTTTATCTCTGGCTCAGCCAATTGTGAACCAACCTTTCGTAACCCAGCCTTCAATTCCTCATACGTTACTTTGCCATCTTTGTCAGTATCCATCAACGTAAACATGTCTTTGATTATTTCTACCTCTTCAACAGATAAATGTTCTGCAATTACCTGTAGCATTCATTCAAAGAAACCCAAATCACCAACATTCTTACTTCATTATATTACTTCTATTGTATACAGAACTTGAATTAACAATTATCTATAAACCACGAGAGATGCTAACCCGAAGAGCTCTCTTTTTGAATCTATTCATCATAGAGAACTGCTTAAGTCTTGTCCTCACAATATCTCCTAATGGAACATTTGAAGCTTTCTTAGCATTTTGTAGCCAGGAATGTTCTGCAACCATAATAAAGGACAGTAAACATATAGAATGGCTTTCTTCTATATCAGGTAGACCTCATGGCAAATTCAGCCTTATGAGGTAGAGGTTCAAGCATGCATCAATTTGTTTTATAATTTTAAGGGGGAGATCACAATGGGGCAAAGGGTGAAGATGAGAATGAGAATTTCCTCTTACACAAAGAAAAATCATAAAATATACATGGAAATTTTGAGCTGCTTTAACATTCTGATTGAGTCCCGTAAAATCACCCTGTCAGTTATCACAAGGCAAATCCATTCAGGCATGTGAGTTTTAAAATTCATCCTTTAGAGGTATGACAGTTATCAAACAACTCCTCTCAACATCGATAGGACAAAATAAACCACATATACAACCATTCAATTTCAATGGAGTGAAAGTTTCCCTGCTGCCCCCCATCTATCTATTAGTCAGATAAACTGCATTACACTGAACAAATCAACAAATGCCAAATGAAATCAACCGAGCTTCTGAAGGATAGTCGAACTCAATGTCTCATTCTTGACGGAGAGTTAGGAAAGAAAGCTGAATTTAAAATCCAAGATTTGATACTTGAGGGGCAGGGGAGGTGAGAAGAACCTTCATTGGAATTTGGTCTATAAATATCCTAGGTGGCATGCAAGCCCTGGAAAAGCAACAAGTAGGAGCCTCTCCAATACGATCACAAATTCAAGGTAGAGTCTCTAATATATGTAACTGACAAGGCATCCTTCTCTTTCAACATTATTAACTAATCGTCAGACAATGAATAAATTTCCTTAAGCATTTTTTCCAGAAAAAAATGACACATGACAGGGGCATTGGCTAAAATAGAGAACGGTGATCACATGTTGAACTTTCCTTGACATATCCCCACTTTTTCTAGGAGCTTTCCTGCTCAGAAATTTCTCCATCGCATTTAAAAATCCTAATACACGCAAGATTCTGTCACAAAGAACAAATCCAACATTTATTTGGGGCATCACTTATGCTTACTGAAATTATTAGATGAAAGACAAACTGATATCAGCTAGATACTTCATTGAAAGCATTAAAACGGATCAACATTCCACATCACACTTAGCATTAACCACTAACCAAAACATCGAACATCAGCCAAGTATTTACCATTCTGAGATAACAAAACAGAAAGAGAACAATGCTAACCAAAATACATACATAACCACCATCAAGTGAATAGTGAACACAAACTCAATCAATCCACTAGTGAGCAAAACTCAAACAACTTACCAAGCACCTGTTCAGCCGTCAAGCGCTTTTTAGGATCAGGTTCCAACATCTGACGCACAAGGCTCTTAGCACTATCTGAAATCTGAGGCCAAGGCTCCCTCTTGAAATCAATCACCCCCCTCAAAATGGCCAAAGCCACCCCTTGTTCCGTCTCTACAACAAATAAAATAAAATAAAAATAAATCACTAAAACTCAAACAGCCAAAAAACGCACACAAATCCAGTAAGTATATACCTGCCCAAAAGGGAGGAACACCACATAACAAAATATAAAGAATCACCCCAGCACTCCACACATCAACCTCCGCTCCATAATTCCTCTTCAACACCTCCGGCGCCATATAGTACGGACTCCCCACAATCTCTGAAAACCTCTCCCCTACCAATTCACATTCAAATTCAATTAATAACATCATTCATTAGCACAATTCATCAAAATCAAAATAAAATAGAATAAATATACACGCATACACTACATAGTACATAGAACATACCGGGCTTGAAAAACACAGAGAGGCCAAAATCAATGGCCTTAAGAACGGAATTCTCTTTCTTATTAGCAAAGAGGAAATTCTCAGGCTTAAGGTCCCTATGCATCACTCCATTGGCGTGGCACATTCTAACAACCTCAGCAATGGTCCTTGCCACGTGTGCCGCCGCACGCTCGCTGTAATGGCCACGTGCGACGATACGGTCGAAGAGTTCGCCACCCTCGCAGAGCTCCATGACAAGGTGAACGTTCTCTTCGTCTTCGTAAGTGGCCTTAAGCTTCACCACATTCGGATGCTCCGGCAACGTTGACATGATCGCCACCTCTCGCCGCACGTCCTCAACGTCCACCGCAGTCCTCAGTTTCCGTTTCGAAATCGACTTGCACGCTAACTCTTGCTTCGTTTCCCGGTCCGTGCACAGGTACGTTATCCCGAACTCTCCCCGACCTAGCTCCCGACCTATGACGTACTTGTCTCCAATTCGACTCCGCGATGTCACTTCCTTCAGCACTCGGATCGGAACCCCCGAACCCGAACGTACCTCCTCCTCTGCAAATGGGTTCGGTTTTGGTTTCGCTTTCTTCTTTCTCCCTCGGTTTGACTCTACCACGTCTTTTCTCACGCACGTGTTGCAATTCCCCATCTTCTCTCGCTGTTTGGGATTCTGCCGCCGGTGAGTTCTCCGGCGAACGGAGAGAAGGGAGAGTCAGAGAGAAAGGTTGTTAGGTGAGTTGGGGGAAAGTCCGATTTTAATTCACTTTTCTTGTGAAGCTTGTTTGACTCTGACAAACTAATTTGACTATAATAATTACATTTACTTTTAACTAATTTAATTTAATTGTTGTATTACTGATGTGATTAGTAATTTAAACCGAATCTTTGAATGAAGCTGCGTTCAGGTTTGTCGTTAAACTGCGTTTTGATTTTTTTAAATATTTGTTTTGGGTTGTTATTGTTATTTGATGTGCCTTAATTTCCCAAATCGTGGTGAGTTGGATCATTGCGGGGGGCCATGACACTTGCAATTTTGTTTTTCGATTTCAATTTTATAGTGTGTGATGATGGGATCGATCAATTACGGTTATTCTTCTTTTTCTTTCTTTTGAATTTGTATGTCTCTCGTTTTATATATCATAAATTTATATTTTATTTTAAAAAAATTTACAGTATTAAATAATTAAATTATTATTTTATAAATTAAATAAATATATTTATTGATATGGATAACAAATAAGCATTTTATTAATACAAATTTTACAATAAATAATAATATAAAAAATTTAACAGAATGGATGCCCAACAGTGATTAAATCACAGTGTAAGTGAACTGATGTTAAAATTGGATAATGTCTTTATAAATATATCCGTTCAAAGGACGACAAAAAATAAGGCACACGTAAGTTGTTAATCTTGTATTTTTTGTAAGTAAACATGATTGTTAACATGTTTAATGTTGCATTAAAGTATAAATAAATTTACATTTACTAATTATAGGTTCTTTCTCAAATACAGCTTTACATTTTATAACTTGTTTTCAAACATCAAATTTGGTCTCAAATGGAAGTTTATTACACAAGTAAAATTGGGTGATGGAGTCATAATTGCTTATATCATCATATATTTGCTTGTACAAAACTTGCTTACGAACATGTCAGCTTTAAGTTTACCTCGAAGTTTCAAGCATATAATAATACAGCAATAGCTATCATCAACACTTGCCCACTAAATTTGTGACTTGGTCCAGTCTAGAGTATCTTTTTCTTTTCCTAACGTCACTTTACATCCTTTAGAGCTGAAATGGAAAGAAAATATTGTATTGTGGCAGAACCCTATTTGAATTCTATGCTACTATTTAAACACAACGACAAATACTTATTTTCCCTGAAGCTTTTCTCATGATCAGTGGAAGCCAAATTTGGGATAAGAAAGAAAGGGTGAAATTGGAAAAGTGATTTGTACAAACAATTGTACTGTTGATGTGGTCAATATCTTAAAGCTAATTAAGATCCAAAAGCTGGAAGCTATTTTGGCAATGACTATGACCCACTTTGAGGAAAATAATATATTCCTTCCATGCCAAAGTCAACAAATTATAATGACTTATTTTTCCTTTTCCTAGAGAGAGCAAGGTTAAGAACAGCTTTTTCTACATTGAAAGGTTGCAAAGTGTTGGCTATTGGGTGAAAGATGATGGTTTTTCTTCTCTTGAAAGTCACATATCACCTTCCTTTTATCGCAAAGAACAAGTTGTTAATATTCATATGCATTAAAATCACTTTTATTGTTTACATATAAATAGTTACACCGTTTAAGTAACTTCTTTTCCAATATTCATATGCAATCGCATCACATTCTTTTATAGTTCACTGTTTAACCGATTATTATATTTCGCTTCACTTTGATTAGATCATCCAATATTTTGCTTATTGGTAAACTATTGATCTTGTAATCGTTAATGCGATATTTCTCATAGTGAATAAACTAACTAATTGTAGGACCTAAACAAAATAATAATAATAATAATAGAACCAACGAATGTTCCAATAATGAAAGTGTGAAGGATAGGATCATAGTCTCATAGAAGTTGTTGCCAAATGAGGCTTGAGGTAGTGGAACATGGGGAGAGAGAGGGGACAGGGGAAGAGGTTGATTGCGACAGAGGGGAATGGGAGAGAACTATGTAACAAATAAAAAAATTTCCCTAATCAAATTATTAGCAATGAAATATTGGTAAATATACATATATATATATATATATATATATATATATATATATTAACTTGACGATAATTTACATGATTTAATAAAGTAATATAAATTTTAAATTTATTATTACAAAAGTTACTAATTCTTATTAATATAACAATTTATCATCAAATAACAGTATAAAAGCATGTATATTATAAATATATTTTAGTTAAATTCATAAAATAATAGTACAATATTTTAGTCGTAACTTTTGTCTGCTTTGCATGGTTGCAAAAACATTTCTCTTTATAAACTATCTGCATGCACTTTCCAACCAAAAGCAAAGGCCGATATACATAATCTTCGTTACCTACCTTTTCAGTTTTCACGCAGGCATGAATGATTCTTTTCATATTATGAATAAATAAATAGACATTTTTAATAATTAATAACTATTTAATTGGAAAATAAACGAACTTGGTTGTCAAGTTGTAAAGTAAATTATTATACGTGAGACTTTCTTTACATGTTATAAAAAGGTTTAGGTGTGTCTTCAACGTCACCACTAGCAAGGTACTTAATTAATCCAATTAATGTTATCATTTGATTAGGAAAGGGAAAAGTCTATTTCATGAAAATGAGTTTATGCATAAAAACATTGCACGTTTCTAGATTTTATTACGAAAATGAAAGGATCTATGTGTGTATGTTCGGCTAGTTAAAACCTCAAATACAACAATTAAAAAAGACCCAATTTTCAAATGAGTGTGCGTGTAGAGAGAAAGAGAGTTTAAATATAATTTTTTTCAAAACATTGTTTTTAATTGAGTTTAAAGTATTAAAATAAATATTTTTAAAAAATATAAAACTGATATGGTGCCATTATCTTTGTATCAGATGATTAGGTGTTACCTAACAAAAGATTAGACAAATCAGGAAAGATGGAAGCTACAGAGAGGATCCAACTAAACAGATTAAGCCCCCCACACGACCATGTTCACACAATAAGTGATCCGAGAAAAATGGAGGTTTAAGGCCATAACATCTTCCATAGGCATATAATGAGCATTTGAGTAAGTGTTTAGAAATTTAAGTTTAATATTATTTAAATTTAGACTTCAAAAAGCTAATAATAAAATTTAGTATTTGTTAATTTAATCCAAAATTATAATATATTATATTTAAATTAAACGCAATATTAACAGTAAAAATCACTAAAAGGTCAAATTGTAAGGACTTATTCCAAGTTATAATAAGTTTTTAAACTATCACTAAGAGTAATAAACATTAAATCTAAGTTATAATAAACAAACATAGTTGTGGAAAACCTCAAAATAAATCCAAGCATTGCTCTAAATAAAATAATGATGGAAAAGCCTCGATCCTTTCACGTAGAAGCGATATCTTTATGCACTGGTGTGACTTTCCAGTGAGACCAGTTTTTTTAAGTGTGAAAAGGAGCCGAAAAGAAGCTTAAAGGGAATGGTATACGATGATTGTGTTGGATGATAGGCTTGCAAAAAAGCAAGTGAATTCATTTACACAGCTCACACCCCCAAGAAAATTGGTCAAGCCCCTTCTGAACCTTCAAAGAAAATCATTTCATAGCCATTTATATAACACTTTAATTTTAGCTCCTTTCCTGCATAATATTAGCATGCAAAAATCTTAACCAAGTTAGAAGGAATCTAAGTCCACGAATAAGTAGTGTTAATGGATGCGTATATTTTGTGTATGAAATGAAATAAGAAAGTATATTCCTTTCATTTCGTGTGCAGGTAGGTATCAATGAATATTTTTTTCAGTGCATGTCATTTTAATAATTGTTTTTCTATAAAATATTGTTTATTTTGTGCTTTTTATCGTATTTTCTATTGACATTAAAGATTAAAGTAAATTATATTTTACTAAAAAAATATAAACAATATTTATAAAATAAAAGCTTTATTTCTAAAACTAAAGTGACTTGTATTATTATTTTTTCATTACGTGATATGTACTTATTATGTTATAAACTAATGTGAGGAGGATGCATTCCAATGATACACTGTTCCGGCAGTAATTGAAATAATGACATTGTCGAAGTTATAGACAAGCCGGCCCAATGGGCCTTACAGTTTACCTCGGACCTGAGGTTTATTTATTTGAAATAAGTTGATTTTTCAAAAGTCTATATGATAAAAGAATATAGTTTTAAAAGTATTTCATAACTAATCATTTGAATTTTTAAGTAATTATAAATGAAATAATAACATTATTAAATACTGTGTTATCTTTATTCAATACTTTAAATTATTTTTTATTTTATTTAAAGTTTTGGTTTAATAGTTGTGTGAAGATTTATGCATGTTATTAATGTACATGGTTTGTATTTATTGATTTAATTAAAAAAAATTTAAAAATAATTTTTTTTGAAATTAATACAAGTCTTTCAGGAGTTTTATTAAATAATTTAATTGGAATGTACTTACAGTATAATAATATTTTATTATATTTTCTGGATTATGAAATTATAAATTATCATGTAAGTGATAATATTTAATTTTAGTGATAATTATTATAAAAATATACATATTGTATATTTAAATTGATCAACAGTATAAAATAAATTATGCTGAGATGAACTCTAGATTAAAAAAAAAAAAGTTGCATCTTATTTTAATTTAACAGATAAATCAATCTTGTTTGAACTAAAACTTACTTTGACTTAAATAATAAAATATGAAGCTGAGAGCATTTTAAATTCAAATTTATGAATGTTTGTTTTTTTTTTTCCTTCTAAATCGCGTGTATTATTTGTGCAAGACAGTCTTGTTATAGTATAGTGGAATCGTTTTAAAAAAAAACTATGAAAATTTTTTAATTAACTTATTAGTAAAACTTATTAAAATAAATATTTGTATTTTATTTTAATGATTCTATATTAAATTAATATCATAAATTGTTGTAATGTAATTATTTGTTAAATAATTTTTAATTACATTACTTACTGAAACGACATTTTATTTTGAAAAATTAAAAAATATTTAATTTAACCATTCAATAATTTCAATATTGAATTGAGTGTTGATATTTACAAAATAAAA